AAACAATTTTACCGAAAAAATTAAAGTATAGCATGTTACTACGAAGTTTCAATTCTTATTACAGTAATAGATCCTAGTTAGTTTTTCTTTTTAAATATATTTTAGTGTCGAAATTTTTGAAAATACTGTTATACAGACTTTCCTTGCAAAATTGAAAAAATAGAATATTTAATTGAAATATGTTGAAGCTGATCAACAACTTTTGTCATGTTAATTGAAATTGGTCACTAGTAGCATTTTATCTGATTGTTCTATGATGAGAGAGTAATTCGAAGCTTTGACGAGGTACACATAATTTCTGAAGAGTATCCTCATGATCTTCGATAGAATGAGTATGACCTCCAGACAAGTGTTGTACTTCGAGTTGTGCGATGCTGTATAAAATATTCGTGATTAGTTCTTTTCTATCAGTGATGAGGTGCAGCTACAGAGGCACGTTCAACTTTGCAAAGTTAAGTTAAAATGAGATGTTCATTAATTCTACTTCATATGGAATACTAATAAGAAAACTTGATCGTTAGTATATGCTTAGACTAATGCGAGTTGATGGATTTATTATAATTCAAAGTACTACACCAAAATTGACATATGTTTACCATATCTGATTAGTTACAGCGGAACAATTTTGCTTTATAACATCTCAAACTAAAATAAAGAAGAAAAGAAAACTATTTTTTCTAAGTCAACTTTTTTGGCAGAAAAATGAAACATGGAAATTCAAACTAATCAGATCGCTATCGCTACTTGCATGTAAGTATTAAACCAATCTCAATGGAAAAATTGTTCTGATTCAAATTAAAACTAGAAAAAATAAGTGATGTCGATATACAGGTATAGATAAAAGAAATGTCATGTGTAACTGGCTAAGATCCTGGTTACTGATCGCTTTGTTAACATGAATAACACATATGAAAGTTTATTATTTAGGGAACTGTCTTCTTTTGACATATGTATTTACTCTGTATTTTCGGTATAGCTACACAAATAAACGAAGAAATTTAGAATTTCCATAATACATAAAGTTTGTAATGTCTAAGCCGAAAATAAGTTAGACAACACCATTTTTTATTTTAAAATCGACCTATGAGGGAAGTTTTGTATGTAAGCTACAGCTTTAAAGTTATGAGTACTCATCATAAAAACGTGTCAATTCAAATCAAAGAGTGATTTTTTTTCTTCAAAACTTTTCAGAAAATGAATTGAACTTGAGTTAATCTAGCCATTTCAGATGGTAGTTCTATTGATGATTTATAGCAGTTTAACTGGTTTTTTTTAAATTGATTGTCACATTGATCGATTTTGCATTCTGGAAACCTATCTCGAATAATTTCGTTTGTATTTTAAGCTTTGTACTGTTACACTCATCATCAAACCATCTGTTTAATTTTTACGACAGATATAATCTCATAAATCTTTAAAACAAGTTAACCAACTCCTTTAGAATTTCTGCTGAAAGCAATAATTTGAGCTTCAGAACTGTCGGTACAGTCCTAGAAATAATCGCATTGCCTTTGAAAACTGTGCATATGACTTTCTTTCTCTTGTAGGTTGCTCTAATGACCTCATCACAATAATTTTTTGTTTATTATTGTTGATTCTTCTATAAATATATAGATAGAGAAAGTACTGATAAAATATGTTTTTTTATTATATCGTATAGAAAAACAAATCAAAAACATTTTCATCAATCACTTCGAATTCATAACAATCGTACTGTCATCAACGTTCAACAGCATATAAAACACTTGCTTGATGAATCGTTTTGGCGATATCGACGTTTCGTTTAAACGACTTCCACCAGTGTATGGTTATCATGCTGAAAAACTTGTTTCACTTGAAAAAGCACTACAGCCTATCGAAGCTCATATAAATGAACTGCCTCGTTTTATTAAAGTAGCTAAGGACTATTGCCATTTTCCATCAGAACATGGACTTTCACATGATCAATCAGCTGCTGTTTATATTTACACAATGGAATGGGGCGAAACTACTTTATATCGTGTATTAAATAAAGCATTACGAGCTCAAAATCGGAAAGCGTTGAAAATATGGTTTCCATATCTGAAATTATTTGATACAGCATTAGATTTGTTACCGACTGTCAAAGAGGTGGTATGGAGAGGCGTACCTATTGACATTGGTAAGAATTTCACCAAAGACCAAATTGTGACGTGGTGGAGTTTTAATTCATGTTCGTCATCCGTCAACGTTATCGAAACTTTTCTTGGTAACGAAAAAAACTCAACGCTTTTTCTTATTGAAGTTGTGAATGGTAAAAAGATTTCTGGATATACAGAACATGAAAGTGAAGATGAAATTATTTTACGAATGGGATCACGATTTCTTGTAAAGAGCGATGTTTTAGAGCAGTCGAATGGTTCACATCTCGTACATTTAATTGAACTTGGTGACAATAACGATCAACCACTAGCATCAGCTATGGATCCAATGCACCTGTCTGCAGTATCATCAAATACAAGTACATCGAGTAAGTTAATTATACTTCTTCACGAAATAATCTTCTGTATGATACATATGTGTAAAATAATCATTAAAAAATATCCGAATACTGACTAATGTATATAAGATAAAGAAAGAAATCAGATGATTGTATCAGTACATTATATCGATGCAAAGTCTTCAATTTGAAGAAAGAGATAGATCTAAGAAAGAAATCTCGTCAAATAGAAAAAAAGAATATTTTATTATTTTTAAATAAAATTCTATTTCACGAATCATTGACATCTAGAACAATAGTATGGCATAGCTTTGACCATTTTAGCATCCTCGATTGATTTGCTCCAATCTGTAGATCCTATCAGGAAAATTTGGTTATGACGTCGTGGATCTTGTCAAATCGAATAATCTAATCATTTGAAATTTTCATGAATCTTGGCTTCTAAAATAGTTCGGCATCATTCAGGCTGAGGATTTGGAGACTTCTGTTGATCGTTACCTTTTATTGTTTATTTATACACCCATTCTCGTCCCTCGATTTTTAATCTCTTTGGTTTCTGTAGATTCTTCGAACTCTACCAGTTCTATCATTCTAGCAAAATGTTCGTGATGTGGCAAGCTCTGAATATAGGATTGCTGAAGCGATCTAGCAAGACACATTGAGAATCTTTTTCCAGTTAAGCATTGACATCCACAGTTTGGTAGGATTCACAACGCCTTCGAAATAGAAATATTATTAAAAACATCGAATGATTATTGACTTTCAAAAACGATATATTCTTTTTGTAATCTCTCATAGATCTTCGAATAAGATACTATCTGAAATGCTAAAATTGTTTCCAAGACCATTTCAGAAACCATTCCAACATCATAAGTCTAGAAACCATGTTTTTTAATACTTGAATTTCTTGTGATCATTGATTTCCCTATGTTTTATTACATGTCAGTTACTACGACTTCTAGTAGAGTCTTGCTCGATTTATGTCACTGATTGAATATCTAGTCTTACAAAAAATAGGCATATCTGCTTCAGCCATTAACTGAATGTTTTAGCTTGGATGGATAATACATTTGGAGATATAAATGGTGCCAGTAATTTAAAGATATTGTGTTAAATATGTAGCTCCTGGTTATAGATCAATACTTTATATCTTATTGTCATCATCCGAATAGTGCTGAAAGTAATTTTCATCGATTGTTCTCCCATGGATAATAGTAGCTTAATTCTTGATATTATTTGGATGGTCTGATAAACTGTTTTCAGAACATATGACCAAGCTCGTAATGTAAGTGAGTTAAACTCAATGAGTAGCATACATTAGCCTCAGAACAGTTTCATTTGAAAGAATATTTCAGAAAAGTTAGTGAGCGCGTGCGGATAAACGTCTTCGGCCATGAGAAGATTCATGCTCATAATGACAACCCTTGATGAATAGAATATGATTCACCGAGATTAAAAGAAAGTCACCTGTAATCATTTTTTCGTATTCATGTTCAAAAAAATGCGTGGAATTTCTAGTTTTACTGATGGTATCGATATTACAGTTCGTTTGAATCACACAATGTAAATCATATATTTAAGAATCCAACATCGTTGTCCCATTTTATTGAAATAATTTTAAGTTTATTCAGCATGCCTGTATTTTAAGTATTAGATAAAAAAGGGTGTAGGTGTGGGTATGGATCTTCTCTTCAAAAGAACCCACACCCTAATTCAAAAATCAAATATTTTGCCATATGTCTTATGAAAGTAACATATAAAAAGATGATGTCATGAGTTTCGCATTATAGCAGACTTTTGGCTTGCATTTTGCAACAGCATGAAATTCGACAGACATAAAAGATATATGTACATATTTATATATTCACGAAAGTTATCTACATTATAATCCAAACTTTCTTATTATCCGTTGTTATCGTTATCGAAGAATGAAAAATATCAACCACTCATTGCGATAAAGTGTAAAAAAACGAAAATAAATGACGTAGTTTGATCAACATGTTGTCTAATGATGCACTTTCTTAGTAAACAATTGTATAGGTGTGAAACGATCCATACTCAAAACTTATCAATAGTATCCAACTATAGTTACTTATTCGCTTTTTCGTCGTTATCCCTGTTGGAATAGATGGAAAAAAATTGAAATTTTATTTTACTTTGTACAATAATGAGAGAGACAAAGAGTTAATCTTATATTGCCAATTTGTGTGACAATAAAGAACTTCTATGAATGAAATGAGCATTTGAAAAATTTAGATCATATCAAGACGTTCATTTCAGCTTATCGATCAATTAACATTTGCAATCTGTAGATGAATATATATGAAGAAAAATAAAACAGGCGATAAGTTGTCCAAAAAAAACATTACATTCTACATGTATCAATAGACATGAACAAGAAAAGAAGACGAATAAAGAATCACATGTTCGTAGAAAAAATCTATATGAAGAGAAGGGACGTCATTCACAGATATTTTTGAGAAACTTAATAGACATTTTGCCGAGACGAAACGATCAAAACTATCAGTCGATAGACACACGTTTTCAAATAAGAGATCTTGTTGATCATCAAAAAATTTCTTGGAACTTCTTCTATGCTTGTAGAACTTATTGAAATTAGAATTAAGTTCATCTAATAGAATCTCCAGTCAAAATATTGATGAAACATAAAATTTTCTACTGCCTCTTCTTATAAGACAATTCGAATTGTTATTTCTATTTTTTTTATTCAGATTAAAGATATGCTTTCCTTTAGTTCTTCGTTTACAATGATATTCGATTTTTTTCATTCGAACGAAACTATACGTATATCTGATGAATTGAATCTTAATTTTAAGTGTTTAAAAATGTTATATATCCAGATTATGTATGAACACAATACATAGATTTCATCTAAACCTTATCTTATCTCTACTGTACGAAGATTTTAAAGATAAATCGTAGTTTTTTTTTAACGACGACCACTTTGTTTCGGTATTTATTCATAAGACAAGAAATATAATTAGTAGTCATGGATTAAAGAGAAATCAGCCTCAAAAACAATGCTTATCAATCAAACAAATCGTAGTGAAAATTGTTCGTATTCTTTGTGCATTCATCTTTTTTTCTCTCTTAACAAAATTATAAAGGAACGAAACTTTCAGACTAGTTTGACTACAAAAACAAACTTTTGCTTGTTTAAAATTTTCAATGTCATTCTTATCGTTTCCATGTAGTTTATTAAATTTCATGAC